TTCTATTTTGGTGGTGTCCTTTCCTGGCTTTGGTATCAAGGATATGTTTGCTTCATAGAATGAGTCTGGGCGTGTTCCATCTTGTTCTATTTTTTGAAACAGTTTATATAGAATTGGTGACAGTTCTTCTCTAAATGTCTGATAAAATTCGCTTGTAAATCCGTCTGGTCCAGGACTTTTTTTGGTTGGAAGCTTTTCAATTTCTTCTTTTGTAATGGGTCTAACAACAGCCTTTTAAACAAATGGTGCTGGCAAAATTGGAAAACTGTAGAAAATTCAAGTAAGACCCTACCTTACTCCATACACAAAACCCAACTCAAAACGGATCATGAACCTAGGACTAAAACCAAGGACTAAACATTTCATTAAAGAAAAGCTTGGAAGAACTTGAGAAGTCCTAATCCACAACAGTCTTTCAAGCATCCTGAAAAATCTACAATCAGGAGAGGATAAAAGATGAATGAGACCTTCTAAGAGTCAAATCCCTATGCACATCTAAAAATTTCTCCAACAGAGTAAAAACAGAAGTAACAGATTGGGAAAAAATATTTGGTAATGACATGTCAGATAAGGGATTTATATCTAGAATTTATAAAATATTCTAGCACACAACAAGATAACCCCATTGAAAAATGGGCACAGGATATGAACAGACACTTCACCAAAGAAGACATTCAGATGGCAAACAAATGCATGAAGAAATGTTCAAAATCCTTAGCTCTAGGAGAGATGCAAATCAAAACAACTGCGAGATATTATCTCACCCCAGTAAGAATAGCAAAATTTAACAGAGCAGCAAACATCAAATGCTGGTGAGTTTTTGGAGAAATTGGAACCATTATTCACAGTTGGTGGGAATTTAAAATGTAACCACTGTGGAAGGTGGTATGGTGCTCTCTCAAAAAGTTTCAAATATAGAAATACCATTTGACCCAGCTATTCCCCTACTGGGAATATACCCTAAAGAAACCATAACTGTCACCCAGGCAGATACATGTACATGCATGTTTATTGTGGTTTTGTTCACAATAGCAGAGTTGGAAACAACCTAAGTGCCCATCAACAAACGAATGGATAGAGAAGCTCTGGTATATTCACACAATGGAATATTGCATTGGATTGAAAAACAAGGAACTCAGTGGAGGAAAGGTCACAGGAGGGTATTTCTACTCTGCGTCCGGGATCTCCTTTTCTGAGGGCTGGGACCAGTCTGCTGTCCGGGGAGAGGAACGCCTTCTCAGGAACCATCTTGCCTGGATCACCCCTAAAACCAAGCCAAACAAACAAGCAAACAAACAAAAAGGCTGCTCTAGCCTGAAAGAGTCCCCGAGGAGAAGAAAGGAAAGGCACCCGGAATGGCAGTGTATCAGGAACTGTTTGTTTACCTTCAGGGACGTGGCCATCGAGTTCTCTCAGGAGGAGTGGGACAGCCTGGACCCTTCGCAGCGGGCTCTGTACAGGGACGTGATGCTGGAGAACTACCGGAACCTGGCCTCCCTGGATACCTCCATTAATTACGTGATCAAGGAGTTACCACCGCCAGAGGAAGACACGGAAGACGAAGACTCGTACCACACCGTGATCATCGGGGAAGAAGGCCATGACATCGATGAAATTGAGAGTCACTGGCTGGCCCAGGATGAGCAGCAGCAGCAGAAGGATAACAACATGCTCGTGCCCTATAACGGAAACCTCGCCGGGGGTGGGGGGGTGGGGTGCGAGCAGCATTTCAACAAGTCCTGGACTAACCAGAGCGTTTCCGTGAGTGAGACCACCTACCAGTACTTCAGACAGGACTCCTTCCTCAGCTACTTGTTAAAACTGAAATACAACGTAGGCTTTGCTTCAAGAACATACATGAAACGCTTTCAAGGTGAGTTTGGCTTACACTTTCTATCGCACCTGTCGGAACTGCAGAGGTTTCGAACTGAGGAGGAGATCTTTGAATGCCGTCAGGTTGAAATGCTTATCAGCAACGGTTCCTTAGTTCCGTCCCTTCCAAACGCGCCGATGAGTGGCCAGACCAACATCTGTAGTAACTACGAGGAGATTCTCATGCACCCGTTCCTGCTCACCCAGCAGCAGAACATCTACACGACAGAAACGCCGTTTGCCTGTAACGAGTCCTGGGAGGCTTTCAGCCGATGTCTGATCCTCAACAATCCAAGATTTCGCCCCGAGCACAGACCTTACATGTGCGATGAATGCGGCAAAGCCTTTTCGGATCGTTCCACTCTCGCCCAGCACAAGAGAATCCACAGCGGCGAGAAGCCTTTCAAATGCACCCAGTGCGGGAAGGAATTCAGCCGACGCTCTTACCTGTGGAGTCACGTACGCATTCACACAGGAGAGAAACCTTGCATATGCAATGACTGCGGCAAGGCCTTCAACCGACTGTCCAACCTGGGCAGGCACCAGAGGATCCACACGGGAGAGAAGTCATTCAAGTGTAACGTGTGCGGCAAGGACTTCACCATACGCTCGCACCTCTGGGGTCACGAGAGGATCCACTCGGGGGTGAAACCCTTCAAGTGTGAGTACAGCAGCAAAGCGTTCACCGAACGGTCAAACCTGACTCAGCACCAGAGAATTCACACGGGTGACAAGCCCTTCAAGTGCAACGAGTGCGGCAAGGACTTTCCCACGCACTCACACCTCTGGGGCCACGAGAGAATTCACACTGGAGAGAAGCCTTACAAGTGTGACGACTGTGGCAAAGCCTTCACCTGGAGCTCGAACCTCATGCAACACAAGAGAATCCACACCAGAGAGAAACCGTTCAAATGCAACGTCTGCGACCGGGCCTTCACCCAGAATTCAAGCCTTACCGTTCACCAGAGAATCCACATCAGCGAGACGCCCTTCAAGCGCAAGGAATGTGGCAAGGCCTTTAAGCAGTACTCGAACCTGACCCGGCACCCCAACATCCACCCCGGGGAGAAGCCGCACAAGTGCTCCATGTGCGAGAGGACTTTTATGACCCGTTCACACCTCTGGGACCATGAAAGAATGCACAGTGGAGAGAAGCCCTTCAAGTGTCTGGTGTGCGGCCGGGCCTTTCGGAAACCCTACGACCTTAGACTTCACCAAAGAATTCACACGGGGGAGAAGCCCTACATGTGCATGGAGTGTGGCAAGTCTTTTAACAGGTTTTCACAATGGACCGAAATCAAGTGGTTCACTACAGGGGCAACTAAGCCTGCCTTCCTGCTCAAAGGTTAACCCACCTCAGCAGCTAAATTCCAGAGAGTAACTACACAGACTGCAGCAGCGGGGGCACTTTCAAATACAGAGACTGTGGGAGCAGGGACGTCTGACCTCCAGTAACTTCAAAGGGGAGGCATCCCCGGCCCCAGGACAAAGCCGCCTGCAGTGAGGTCAGACGTGCCCCCCACCCCCATGCCCTGTGCAGTCACTCAACAATTCCAGCCCCAAGCGACAGCTCTTAACTAGTCTGCCACCCTGTGGATTCGAAAACTCACTGCCATGGCCACACAAGAGCTCAGACCATACATCCCAAACTCAGAAGTAACCGGTGCCAGTTCCGGTTGGAAACACTCAGGATACGATTTCTCCACCAGGACAGCTTCCTTCCTCAGGGGTGGTCTCTGCTGCCGCCCCTCCGCCCCCAGGACGGCCATCGGCACCTGACGGCAGCAGGAATCAGGCCCACACCCCCACCTGCTGGATGCTCTATTGCTCCTTGAGGGTCGTGAAATTTCTCCTTTCCACCCCCAGGCCTGCTGAATTGAACCCTGGTTGGATGGCAGGGCTGACTGATCCCCACGTACTTGCATGTTCCCACTGAGAAGGGACTCCATACCGTATTTCCATTGTTAGCAAGCTCCCCCATCCTCTCTGTGGGCCACAGGCAAGTCCTATGTGCATAGCCCCACCCCCCCCTGCCGTGCACAGCAGAGATTGGACAGGACCGTCCTCGTAAAGATGGCAGGGTTCTTTCCTGTTGTACATAGAGTTCCTGCAAGTCGGCGCCAACCGGACGGCGGCTGACGGCAACAATCCCGAAGTGGTTAAAGCAAAGCCAGTGACTGAGAAAGCCATGATGACAAGAAAGAATCCTCTCGAAGTCACGGGACGTGGACTGTCAGAGGAGCAAAACCAGCCAGCGATCTTTATTCTCATGAGCTTGTTTGAGAGGACCACTGTACTCCTCCTGTCAGCCCCCTGGATATGTGCGGTGCGTTACTGTGTGTTTCTGTTCCCGCCTTCGTCACAGACAGTGCGTGCACCATCTTCTTCTCCGGAGGTGGGTCAGGAAGGTGAGAAAGGGACAACTTCCAGCACATTTGTGCTCCTTGGGAAAAAGTAAGTCCTTGGGATTTTAACATAAGACATGTTGTGTCTGTGGGATGGGACCGTGGAGACACAGATGTAAAGCAGTGCTTCTGATCGCCCTCTAGCACGCGCCCAGGGTCCTTGCCCACAGGTGTGTTGGTACGACTGAGGGCCCCTGGACGACCAGAAAGGAGGGCTCTGCGGCTGACCGTGAGCCCACGGGCCAGCCCGTTAGAGTGGCTTCCTTTTGGAGCAGTATTATAGGCTACCAAGGACTACTGAATTAATGATAACGGTAGAATAAACCCAAACTGAGGGGCCTGTAGCCTCAGTTCCAGCGTGGCGACCCTGCGTTAGGACTTTTCCAAGGCTGTACATTGAAATGGACGGAGGTGGCCCGGTTCTCCCCCTCGGAGCCTCTGGTGGACCGGAACTGCGGGGCACGCAGCCCTGATGCCAGCCCCGCGGTTTGCTATGAACTGCACCACCAGAGACCCCCATGTGATAGACGGGGGGAGGTGACGGGCCCCTGCCCACTTGAAAATAGCTGCCGTGTGTCAGCGAGGAATGAAACAAAAACCCTGGTCTTTGAAAAGAATCGGGATCCCGCGTATAAGGGATTCACAGCTAGCTACTGATAGTTTGCTACACCATTTTACTTAGGATCTCAGAGCTCGTTTTACTTAATAAAGTTGAAGCATCTTCTTCCCCCAACCCCCATGAGCCTGAATTCTCCCTCTTCTGTCAGATCTTTTGCGTATCATCGAGCAGCTTCCTAATGAGCTAACAACAAGCCTTAGGTTCTCAAGGTTGAATGACAGCCGAAGTCATGTCTCGCCTTGGTGCAAACAAGGAGTACATCATTCCGGGGCGACATCCTTGTCCTTTGGGGCGACATCCTTGTCGTTGGCACCCAAGTTGTTAACCACCACGCTTTGCTCCTTGGAGATGTATATGAATGTGATACAAATGCTGTTGGCCTAAATCTTACATTTCTGCCCTTCTCCCCATCTGCATCACGTTTCTTGAATGAATATGCCATTTCTATCTGACTTTCTTTTTTATTGTGAAAGTAACACACGTCAGAAGGCCCACTAGCACAACTTTGATACTTAACAGATGGGTGACATTTTCACAGATCACTGTTACTTGCTATAGTTTCCCAAGATACCCCAGCACCATTAACATAAATTTCCAAATACATCTCCCCCCACCAAAAAAAAAAAACCCAACAGCGTAACACTCTTCCTTCTCCTCTCTCTCTCTCCCTCCCCTGGTATTAGTACTTGGTTTCTCTGCTTACTTGTCAAACTGTGATCATGTGGTATTTGTCCTTTGGCAATGAGTGTTTTTCAGGGGTTCCTCCCTGCAGGGGCACAGAGAGACCTTGATGGCGGTGGAGTATCCCAGTGTGTGTGTGTTAGACACACATGTCCATGCATGTTATCTGTTGATGGACTTGAGCGTTTCCTGCTTTGGGCTGTTAGGAGAGGGCCACAGTGTACCTGGGTGCACTTCTGTCTTCTGGGGTGGAATCGCTGGATCAGATACATGTGCTCTCTTCAGCTCTCAGAGGTACCGCAGGCTCTTTGCCCACTGCGGCTGCCATCGTTCAATCCCACCAGCAGTGCGTGAGGGTGCCTCTGACCCCACACCCACCCCCCCAGCCTCACCCCTTCTCTCGCGGTGTTTTGTCTATTCAACAAAGACTGGCCAACTCTAGACTCCCTGGGTCCATCTGTTTTTGCACAGCCCTTGAGATCAGGAGATTTGAACATTTTCAGAATTAACTGTCTGTAGATGTGTGGTGTGTATACACAGCAAGGTGAGGATGGTGAAACGCCATCCTTCGGCACACTTGGGGCATGCTGTCAGGTGGCGCCAGGCCTTGGAAAAAGGTTCCATGCTGAGAAGGGTCAGAGGAAGGCCGCCAGAGAGAGAGGGATGGACACTTGAGTCCAGCAGAGGGTTAGAGTAGAGCAGCAAGGAGGAGACTATGAGGTCCACTGTGATGTTTGAGAGTCACTGTAGACACCACAGCACCTAACAGCGTGTGTGGCAACGCCAGACTCTCAGCCACCCTCCTCTAAGTACCAGGAGACTGCCCATCTCTCCCTCATGGGGCTGCTTGTGGATTTGAACCACCAGAGACGTGCAGCCTCCCTCTTAATTTGGTTAGAAGTTCATACTTTCTGTTCATTTGGTTAGAATCACTAAACATAACCGCTAAATGCATGTATCATTTGCCAGTTCCGCTTTCACAAAAAGTTGGAAATAGAATTACCATTTGACCCACCAATTCCATTACTGGGAATATACCCCAAAGAAACCAAAACTGCCACCCAAGCAGATATATGCACACCCATGTTTATTGCGGCTTTGTTAAAAATAAAATAAAATTTAAAAAAATGCCAATTTCGAAGGCTTTTGACCTCCTTCCAGAGGTGATGGAAACATGTGAACCAGAGGCTGTCTGGCCTTCAGAGTCTAGTGCTTTCTCTTCAGGCTGGGTTTTCAAGTCCTGCTTGACTCCCAGCAATCCCATGCCAGAGGTGTGGCCTATCTCCATTGCGGCCGACTTGGCAGGATGTCCTTCACCAGGATACAGCCAAAGAACTCAAGACCAAATCTCAGCCGTCCTCATATCTGCGGGGCACTGGCCACACTCACAAGACAGACTTCCCCCTTTCTGAGAGTCAAAACAGCTCAGCTCACTGCGGAGACAGAAATGTGTGCTTTACTTAACCTGTCAATCAGCCATTTCTGATGTTTGGGGTATTTTTTTAAAAGGCATTTATATCCAGGAGACTTGAAAAGCAGTGACAGGGCTCAAACAGCTACAAGGTGCCCAGATGTTCATGACAGCACGGTTCACAGCAGCCAGAAGGTAGGGTACTAATTACCTACACGTCCAGCAGCCAGTAGACTTCAAAATGCAGACCTGCATACAGCGGACACGTGCCTGTATATAGAATCCCAAAGGCAAGTGCCGCCTACCCACTTGTTACAGCGTGGATGATCCAGGGAAACAGATCCGTTGCAAAAGGACAGAGAGGGTGTTATTGATATGAAAAGTGAGACAAGGCAAATGCATGTGTCACCAGGGAGGGAAAGTCGGGGGGCAGGGGGAAGTATTTGCTTAGAAAGGACTGTGTTTCTGTTTGCGGTGACAGCAAAACTGGTGAAGGCTGTGGGCGTCGGTAACCTGAGTCACGTAACTGATACCACTAAACTGTGTCCCTCAAAAATGTTGACCATTTGTACAAGAAAACATTAATCTGTTTAGTGCCACTTCAGTATTTATCAAAGCTCATAAAATGTAATGTGAGACTCAGAAAACATATCCCCAATACAGGAAAATAATGCAAAATGGAATCAGAATGGTTAGGAGGCCTGAAGAAGAAGAAGCTAAAATCACAAAGAGAGGAGTATGGACCCCAAAAGTAATTGACCAAGAAATCAAAACCCTCTGCCTTGGACTCAAGTCCAGCTCATAGCGGCCCTCCGTCAGATTTCCTGAGCTCTTAGTCCTTAACAGGGGGACACTGCTTGTATTGATTTCTGCAGAGAGTACGTGGATTCGAACCACTGTCCCCTCAGTGGCCTGATGTGTTAACCTGCTTATGCCACCAGGGCTCCAGTGATTCAGGACATTTCAAAAGGAGGGTGGGATTCACAAGATAATACATATGTATGCCTGTATATAACCTTATAAAACTGAAACCAATGAGCCATGCATTGAGTTTTCCCCCTACCATCTGAAACTCCTCTCTTTTGAAAAGCATTTTCCTTTAAATGCACTCCCCTTTTCAAAGGGAAGATGTTTGTTGCCAAAGAATGGCCATGGCTCAAACATCAAACAGGACAAAGATGTAGCCTAGCCCTCAAGTTGACTGTCCATTACAAAACAGCACTGTTTCCCTGGGAGACTCAGCCTCTGTTATGCTCACTCTACACAAGATTTCACCGATAAGCAGAAGACAGCCCAACTGCTGGGGGGAGGGGGGAATAGTGTTTCTGCCTCAGAATTAGAATATTTTACTCATTCCTTTAAACTCATTGTCAGTCCATGGAGATTCATGGGAACAGCTGATTCTGAAAGAAAATTGAAAATGTCAATGCTTTTATGAGCAAATTGAATCACACATCCATTTCTTCCTTGTAATATGGTCATGTCGTTGTAATATTAAGTATATGGACAATTGTGAGGTTACCTCCCTTATGGCTTGGACCGAATGTGAACCACCAAGGTGAAGGGGACATGTGATGATGACGGAGGCAGCCAGACCTGTGTGTACAGCCCGGAAGGTCCGCTTTTCTGCACAAACTCCACCTCTCCTCACGGTTTGCCTCTGCGTCTAACTTCTCTCTGCAGTGTCATGGGTTTCCCTTCTTTTTATGGCTCTCTTGCTTTTTCTTTTGGGTTTTTTATTTTGTTATGTTTTGTTTTTAAGTGCAAGTTTACCACGCATACTGGATTTCGTTCAAGCATATACTTTCTGCATTATCACATGAACTAAAATAGATTAATTGTAGTTAATGACAGCGTCTCCTCAAAACTCTTAACTGTGCATTGCCTTTCTCTTCGCCCAGCTTGCCTATTTCATATTTTGCCCCCTCTCCCGCCCTCCTCATTCCTGCTAACCACCCCAGGATTGCATCTATCTGTGTGTAAGCCTTTCCTTAGCATTTTAAATTAGTGGCCTTATACCATAATTCCCCTCGTGTGACTGACTTGTGTCACACCGCATAGTGTGTTCTAGACTTATCCATATTGTGCAGTATTTCACAAATCCTTGATTTTTTTTAAGTGATGCATAATACTCCATTGTATTGAATGTACCCGTTTCGTTAGCACTTTGTCTGTTGATGGACACTTGGGTTGTTTCCAGCTCTTTGCTATTGTAAATAATGCTGCAGTAAACATCAGTGTGAACCTATAAAAAAAAGAAAAACAAGGAACTCATGAAATATTATTCAAAATGGTTGACAGTGGAGGACATTATGTTGAGTGAAATATCTCAGTCACAATACTACAAATACTGCATAGTGTCACTATAATGGGACTGACATCAGGGTTGGGGTGATATTGAGAAAGATTGGATAAAGTGTATGCGTACTGTATTGAAACAGATGAGGGAGAAAACTGTTTAAAAACGATATATGATTGGGTATTATGGTCATGAAAAGAGTCTAGAATAAAGGCTGTATAGTGTAGTGTACTCAGCGGGGGAGGGGGAATTGTACATCAATGAAAGAATTCTTTTACTTTCCAAAGAGAAGAGTGAGGTGGTAGGAGGGGTGGGTAGGGAGAAAAATGTAACAATGAATAAATGAAAATTCAAAGTCTCTGCAAACGTTCATCAAAATAAAAAAAAGAAGTTTTTATAGATTTGTCTTGTTTTTACAAATTCCTTCTTTCTTTTCTGCAACAGATGTGATTTCTCATTAATATTTGATGGATAATTTTGCTGGATACAGGATCTTCAGTTTGTGATTTGTTTTTTTTTCTCAACTTTCTGTATGTATCATTCCTTTATCTTCTAGCTCTCATGCTTTGTGCTGAAAACCCAGAACTTTAGTTACTTTTTCTTTTTAGGACACTGTTTTTTCTCATGCTGCTTTTAGTATTCTATCT